TTTGGAGCGGATCCAAATAACAGGGCCGATATATTATTTATTTTTCTGTCCTATGGCAAAATTAACTGAATTTGTTGCGTATGTGCGAACCTGTGCCATGACAACAAAACAGCCAACTCAAACATCACTGTAGAAACAAATAAAGCAGAAATGATGCAGAAATAAAGTAAATAGCAGATGCAGAAATAAGCAAGGATTTGATCTGGAATTTTCTGACCTGCGTAAACCCAGCGTTATTACAATGAATGGTGCGCAGGTTTGCATATCATAGAAGATTGGATTACTGGCTTTGGTGGAGGTCTTTTGTCAAGTATGGCACCCAAAGGCTGACAGCCTTCTAAAGCCAACAGTATGTTGACACGTCTGGACACGGACACATACACACATAGGCACACTTGTATACACGGCCCACACTCATAGAGACAAAGAAAGCCAGAGGGAGTTGGAGACAGAAAAGAAAAGGGCTCTAATCAACTGTTGTTTAACATTGTAAGATGGGGACGGCCTTGTCCATAAATCAGTGTTTTATGGTCTCTACAGTGTTCCTAACCCCCTGGCCTTTTCTCTCTGGTCTCCTCTACCTGCACAGCAGTCCCAGGACTCCAAGTGACCTGTTTCGCTGGAGGCAACAGCATCCTCTCACAGTTGAAAGAATAACACCGAAATCCACAGAAAGAACCATGACCTGTACTCCATCAAACCTGCCACTCACTGTGAACTATATGAATAGCCTTACATGTCTCTGTCCAAACATTTCCACCTTTATCAATGGAGGCGCTTTCATGTGTGGAGCTGACTGTTTACATTAACTCAAACTAGTTCCACCTTATCATTTAACAAACCCTTTTCCCTAAACGTTTATGAGCTAAGGCAATTAGACAACTAGCTTATACTGTTGCTATTGGATGACTGGTAACAAACTGAAATGATTCCTATCTGTGCCTTTTTCCACAGTGGCCTGAAGGCAACCACGCCTTTCTAATGCTGCTATAATGTAGGGAGTCTATAAACCTTATCTTTTTAACAGCCCCCTGTAAAATATAAGACTTCCTTTCTATTTTGTTGTATGCCGTTAGATGCATTTCTCCTCGGGGAACAGTGACATGAGGGAAGTGTATGATGTTGTGGAATTCAAGGGTGAACTACTGATAGATCTCCAGATCTACTTTCCAAAGCACTTGAGTTTCAAAGAGTTTCAAAGAGACATACCTCTTTTAGATGGTTCATTGCTAGCGTTGGGTGATTGGACGAATACATCGACTATCAGTTCGGCAGCTGTTTTTATTTTTGGTTAGTTAAAGGTCCAGTTTGTAACATTTAAGAGGATCTATTGGCATAATATAATATATTAACAAATTTTCATTAGTCACGAAAAAAATGAAAGAAAATTTGCATTTTGCAAATTGTTGCATTTTTCTTAGCTTGGAATGAACCTGTTTTATTTACAGACAGAGCAGTTTGTTGAACCGCCGTGTTTCTACAGCAGCCTAGAAGGAACAAACCAAACACTGGCTTTAGATAGGGCCTTTTGCATTTTTTTTTTATTTGTATCCGCCATTGTTTCTCCTACATGCTTGGAAGGCAAGTGGTATTTTTTTTTATGCAGCTGTTGTCTCTCTGTAAAGCTGCTGCTTGTGCATCTGTTTAAAGTTTATTATAAATGTAAAGGTTTTGTTGCCTAGACCATACTGGTAACGGTAACAACAAAAATCTACCCAAAGTTTTTGCTCACCGAGATGTCATTACATATCTTCTGATACGAGAGATGACAGTGATCTGGAGTGAAGTGGAAAGAATACACCTCTTTGTCGCCTCCTCTCCTTCCTCCCCCTCGTCTTCCTTCACATCCCGTTAATGCTTGAAGAAGATCCTCAACATATCTTTCTGTTGTGACTCCCATATCATTGGCTTCTCTTGTCACCTCATCTTCTGACACTGGACACACAAAAGGCATTTTTATCATTTTTGCATCATATTAAAGTTGTACAGTTGAAAGAAACGGGACCTGGGACAAAGAGGTGATAGCAGACTGAAAAGCAAAACTAAAAACATTAATTATGTAGAGCAATGCATGGACGCATGTGAAAGCAGATTTAAAAGGAAGCATGCAGAGAAACCATGGGGAATGTCATCAGCTGTTGCACAGCTGTTCACACGGGGTTGAGGGTCCCAATTAACACATCAAACACAGAAACACTGACGACCCAGAAGCCTGTGCATAGCTGTCACAACCCCATCTCTGCCTGTCAACTCTGCAGATGGACAGCAATGAGGGAGCAGTTATGTTCCAGGTGTCCTTCCAGAGAAAATGTACTCGTGTATATGTAACCACACACACACACACACACACACACACACACAGAACACTGACATGCACATACAAAGACAAGCCTTGTAGAGTTTAATCTACTTTATACACCTGTAAGCTGCAGTACAGGGGTGAAGAGGGATGATAAAACAAGGTCGTTGCTGTCCCTCCGGTTAAAGGACCAACAGTTCAAATATTGTGAGGTGGTTCAGCCAGGTGCCTACATAGTTTGGACAGTCTGATTAATGTGACAACCCAGTCTAGTCAACGGTCACAAGATGTAAGTATTTATAGTACATATAGGGCAAAAGTTATGGGTACAATCATGACAAACGTGGCATGAGGCTGTTGTGTTGTACATAGACTGTATTGATGCAGTCTCCATGACGTCAACCATAGTTTTCTGAAGAACCAGTGTGAAGCTCAAAGTATGGTGCCTCCAGCCGTCGCCATCCTGGCAATGCCTAACATCACTAACTTCAGGCTAATACAAAAACGGACAGACGTGGAGCGTGGGTTAGGCTGAGGCGAGCTGAATTAAGCCTGGTTGCTGAAATCTGCTACCTCTTATGGCACCCTCCTGTCACTCAAAGTGGCAGCATCCTTATTTATGCAAAACTTTAAGCCTTAATATAATTAAATAGGTAAGTTATATAAAAAAATCATGTGGGTGGTCCTCGACACCTGATGCATTTTTGTACTTTACCTTCTCCGATCCATGCTGAGTTGCCATCGGTGAGAGCTAATGTGAACCCAGCACCCAGGTCTACGGCCCAGTCCACTTGCAGGAAGTAGGGGGTGTCTGGATCAGAAGTTACAGTGATCTGTCGGACTGTACCAGTCATGACCTGCAGAAAATCAAACATGGGAATTAAGAAACTCCTAAGAATCTCTTAACAAGGCGCCATTGTGATTAATTTGTGTAATTTTGTAGGTCTACAGTTATTATTTGGTCCTAGGACCTCCTTCGAAGACAGCCCTCCAGTCAGTCCATTTTGATGTTATAAGGTTGTGTTACTCTTTCAGTTGCATCACTGCATCTCATTGTTTTACTACTTAGATTTAGTAATAAATGTCCCTGCGTGTGTCTTTAATGGGGGTCTCATTGAGTCAGAGGAACCACATGGAGTTTAACAGGTTTTGGTAGGTTTTTGTGCAAGAGTGTGGGCTCTCTGACCACCAGCAAGGTAATTACATGCTGTTAAAGATAAATGGGAGAATATTACCGAAAAGGCCCAGTTGTTGTTGTCTGATTTTATTCAGTGGGTACATTTGTCTAAAGACCTACAGCACACATATTTGTTGAAGGGATTCTGAATATCCTATCCTCACTCAACCATCTGAGCCAACTCTCAGCCAACTACATCTTTGCACAACAAAATTTAAGTCTGGAAACATCCACTCGAGAATAAATTTAAACTCACAAAGAACTTTGTAACAACCATTAAAACTGTTACACTGTAAATAAAAAGAAATATGACATCCAGAAGAGTCATAATGTTTGAAAAAAAGAAGCAAAGACCAATGACATTCCTGCAAAGGAAGAAGAGAACTGTCAATCATATATTGCTACAACCTAGTAGGCTAATTCATCCATGGCCATGCCAAACCACAAGGGAACAAAACCTGTGGGATCCATGCTATCAGAAGTAGTGTATACTCTGAAACTAAATCATAATTTGCCACTGCTCAATGAGCGTACTGAGCAAGCTTGTTTAGTAATGTCACCTTGGCCTCAGGCTAAATGTCTTGGCTAAATGACTCACAGCTGCAAACTCCTGCCAGAGACAGCCTATGTTCAACAGATCAGTTACAAAAGATCTTGATCTAGGGCTTACCAATATAATCCATGAGATTGTTCCTTAAATGTCATTTTGATTTACTGGTTCCACATATTTTTTTCTTCTCAATGATCTTGAGAAACTTTTACTTGATTACGGATGTCCAAGCCAGAACATGTGATTAGTGCTTCCACGTGAAGTGAGAGGTGAGTTGGATATCTTCCCTGTTTAACTACAGGGCAAAGTATGTTGAGGTGGAGGGAAAAGGACAGCTAAATTGGCAGTTAGCTAAGCTGGACATGTTTGAAAAAATTAAAATGAGCGCCTTTGGACACTGCTATAAGTTAGGACGTGACAGCACGTTTTTTGACATTCTGTCTGTGTCCCCACCATATACGCTGACAGAACAGGTGGTCAAGGTTATTCAAAGTGAGACACAGACACACACATATGCCTTCTACACACACACACACGCAAACACACACACACACCATAAAGAAACTCGCAACAGATTAAAGTTGACCCTTTGTGCTTCAAGAAGGGGTGTGGCTGGATGAAGGGGCTGAACAAGATGAGGGAGCTGAAGGGTTCAACTTTAACCTCATAAAGTGAGCCCAACTACTCATTAGTTACTGTAACATCTGTTGTCCAGGGACGATGACCCTGTGGTAATGACAGAAGGACACTCCAATTAAATAAACAGTGCTGTCTTTCAGGAATGGAAAGCCTTCAAAGTCAGTCGCAAAGTCTTCCTGTTCAGTTACTTGATCGACAGAAACAATCACTAAAACGCTTAAATCATCAGCTTAAACTCCCCTACAGTTTTGACACACTGCCTTTATCCTCTTTTCTTACTCCCTCTGTAATTTTTTGCTCAACCTTTTCATTGTCATTTCTTCAGCATTGCCGCATATGAAAACTGCACAACATAACTGCGGGAAGGAAGTGCTAAGCAAATGAGTCACAAAGAGAGCCTCTAATTATGCATCTTGTGTCTTAAATGAGTTTATACAGAGTAGAAGAAGCTAAGGAAGTTTACTGTCTCTTTAATGGGCCCTGACAATTAGGCCAGTCCTCTCACTGCCCTCTCACTGTCCTTTCACTGGACTTTCCCCTCATGCTCTCCCCAATACAATAGTTTTAAGATGAAAAGGAGAACTCTTTGGCTTGTCCACCGTCATCATGATCAGTCAAGGAGTAAAGCAGCAGACTGTGTTGTAGCCTTTTATCCATTATTCTTTCCAGGTATTTAAACCACTTGACAAATAGGATGCAAATACAAAACATGCTAAAATAAATGATGGCCTGAGGCTAAAACATATATGTCTAAGAATCTATCTAAACTGGAATATACCATCCTCATGTAGGGCAGAATAAATTGTGTGTCACCGTAACCTGACTGATGCGTACAGCAACATAAAGACCAGGCTTGAAAAAACACTATAATTTAACCATGGACACTTTTAGTACTGCCTGCAAATGAGACTATGATGTAGTAGTAATGGGTCAGGGTCATGCTTCGTCTTGTGCTGTATGAAAAGATGTGCCTTCTCCAACATGCAGAAACAACCCTTTTTTTTCAGAACTCCTTATAGATTTAAAGATGTCTTAGCCAAAGCATTTGAGATTGGTGTGTCAGACCTATATCTAACATCATAGGCAATGTATTTTCTTAGTGGATTATGTGGTCAAAACAGCATACCCTACTAAGTGAGTGAACACACATAATCTGGAATAATAACTGTAACTGCAAGCCAACCTAATGGAGTCTTTGTTCAAAGAAATATATGCTAGTCTAGTGCAATAAGTCATAAATTACATCTAAATTCAAGTGAAATCACACAAGGAATGCTGTAAATATTACTTCAGTCAATAATACATTTTAGAACAGAAACCGTACCAATGTTTGCAGAGAAAAAGTAATCTGCAATCTACTGGAACAAACAGGAGTGAGCCACAGCCGAACAGCAATCACGCCAACTAAAGCTCTGCATTCAGATCATTGAAGAGATGACTAATTTCAAGAGGCCAATCCTTTTAAACAAACATACATTGCTAGCCTGCAATGCTCGTCCTTCTGACCTCAGCTCTTCTGTATAATGTTGTAACAACTTGCTAACCCTGGATTCTGCAGCACAATAACAGGTTATTTTCACATCTCCAATATTCACATAGGAATAACTTACAGTTGAGGAAACCTAAGCCATGCTCAGTCACAAATGCGGAGATTATGGTTGTGTAAAAGTATAGAGACCCTGGCACAACCTGTGACAGCACAACACTGGTGGTGTAATTAGCCTCACTTTCATTCCCGTCTGCTCTGCAGTTTGCAGGAGTCACGTTTTTGTTTGAGGGTCAAAACTGCATAGTGACCATTTTCCCTGCAGTACTTCCAGTATTACTCAAAACAAACATCTACCACTGCTTTAAGAAAGTTTTACTCTTCGCATCGACTTATAAATGTCATACAAAAGAGGCTGACCTGGTGTCATCTCTCCTTCAAACAGAAAGACTTCACATACTGAGGCTACTTGCAGTAATTGGGCATGCATGTACTGTGCTGTAGCCTAAATTGGTCAGTGCACTGTAAACTATAAAACTTAATCACATTAAGAGGAATATGAGACTGTTTAAAGCGTACACTTGCTGATCTTTTGCTCTTAAGACTCTCCATTCGAAGATTTAGTCTCTTACACCAAGTTTCCATCCGCACTCTTGTAATAAAGTATGCAAAACATGATTTATGTGTGGTTTACAATCTGACAGATTTCTTTTTACATGAAGAGCTCTCTAGGAGTGTCTGAGAATGAAGGGTCGAGGGGGATTTATGAAACATGCTTTAAATGTAATCAAGATGCTGTCGTGGCTGGTTGGAGGGAGGGGACTTCATTGTGAAAACACTGAAAGAAAAGTGGACCACAAAAATTTCAGTCCTACGTCACCAAGAGAGAACAAGATCTATTGGGCTATCGTCCTATCAACAAACAGTCACATTTGTCAGTAAGATTAACACCAAGGATTGTTTTTATAATTGCTTAATTACAACGTCTACAACATTTAAATGAATTAAAATTCCAAGTTACCAGTGCCCAAAGTGATGTTGAAATTTCTGTCTGACCCACTTTAATTTTGAGAAAAGAGATAATTCAAGCAAATCCTGTAATAATCTGTAATCATCAAATATGTATATATATTTCTATCTATTCATTTTCTGAGTGTTTGAGCACTCCCTTTGCTTATGACACAGATATTCACTTCCCCCTTTTCCCACAATACCTCAGATTTTATTAACCTTCATATCCACCTTCTGGGTTCTGTAAGTGCTGTCTATGTGTGTAACCATGTGTCTAACTACCTTACGTTGAGCTTACAAACTAGTGTTAATAAGTTAGAAATAAAGCTATGGTAGTAATATCAGTGCACATGGTACTCCTTTAACGGCGAGGCGCCGAGTCTTAACCGTGCTGCAGCGGTTCCGCCCTGCTTGAATATTACAGTGGTAACAGGCGGACAAACCCACCATAGTGTCGGTGTGGATGTACACATTTTCCTCAAAACACTTACGGTAATGCATGCGCTAACTACTGCGATGTCCACACGAAGCAATGTTTGAATGAAACTGTAATCGATGCTGCTTTCTCTCTCTCTCTCTCTCTCTCTTTCTCTGTTGACAGTTTTGACAGAAGTTTCAACCTTCAACTCTCGCGTTTTCAGCCAATCAGCGCACGAGTTATGCGACGCACTGCGTAAAAATACGTGAAGACCTCTTTTTTGGTTCACGTTACGTTACGTAAGTTCCAGAGAGCAGGAAGTGTGATGTGGCTTTGACTCACAACAAAAATGGTAAGCTTGTCTTTATTTAGCAAGTGCTTCTGTTCGTTTACGGCGTGTTTGCAGCTTTATAACACAACATCTAGTATGTGTCGGCAGTACGCTGTGACAGCTCCAGTTGCTAGTGTGCTAGCATTGGGTGTTTAGCAGGACGTATAGCAAACGCTAAAGCACCGAGCTAGCGTTGGCTGCCTCGAATAGGCTCAAAGTTTAGCCAATCTAGCGACCACAGTATGTTTCTGTCCTTTAATAACATTATATTATACATTTATAGCATCGTGTGAGTTGCGGGCATGTGTCAACGCGAGTCGTTTTGGTACCAAAGGTTGAAGTTCTTCCTGATGTATGAGGAGTGTTTTGAAGTGCCACGTAGTTGCACCGTGTGTGTGTGTGTGTG